GCACCTCAAGAATTTTCATTGAAATCCAGAAAAAGAAGAAATTAGAGTGAAATAACATCTAAAGCAGTGGTTTCCAGTCTTGGTCCCTGAGAGGTTTTGGGGCTACAACTCCCAGAAATCCTGGCCAGCAAAGCTAGCGGTAAAGACTTCTGGGAGTTTTAATCCAAGATCATCTGGGGACCCAAAGTTGGGAACCACTGCTTTAGAGGTTATCTCAGTCTAGTTTCTCTATTTTCTGCAAGAGGACCACTGCTCTAAGGAATGACCACCTGTGGCCCTCTGTATGCCAGGCTACAGCTCCCATCATGCCTTGCCATTGGTTCTGCTGGTTTGGGCTGACGGGAGCTGTCGAGGGAAACATCTCTAGGACTACATTTGATCTCCCCTGCTTTACATACCCACAGGGGTTTCCCCAGGTTCGTTTCTCAAAGAGGAGAAATTCCTGGTGATTTTGCCTGTCTTCATCCATGGCCGTGGTGGTGTGCTATTTAAATTTTCTACCTCATGCACCGAAATGTTTCAGGCCCAGTTTCCTTAGGAAAACCCACTGCAATGATGCATCATTTTGTTCACCACTAGACAAGACACTTTAAAAGACAAATAACTGTTTTTCCCGAACTTCTGGTGGTTTGCTAAGACGAGAGATGAGCAGTGACTTTCTGTTTGTCATATTGTCATCATCCTCCCTTTTGATTTTGCACCATCCCCTCCCCACACACACACACATGGACCATGATGACCTGCGTCATTCCTTTGTCCCACTTCCCCCTCCCAACATTAATAAAGTAAGAAACCATCAAAGGCACCATAGACCCCGCCTTCCCATTTCCTGTTTATCTTGCTTGATGACACATCACTTCCTCTTGAATGTATGCTATAATTATCATGTCTATAAAACCTTGCTGATTTCGTTCAGGGCATGTCAGTCTCTCCAAAGCAGTTCATATAGTGTGGACTGAACTCGGGCATGTCGTGTTTTCCAGTGTGATACAAGCACTTGGATCATAGCCAGGTTCAGCACACCAGAATTGGGGTCTACACACCAAAACAAGGGGCCAGGGCTGAAACAGGTCTTCTATCTCTCTTCCCCCATGCTTGGGGGGGGGGATGAATCCCATAATCCTCCATATGAAGTGTATGGCATGGGGAAAATGTGGGTAACGACAGTCACAGCATCCCAATACAGACAGCAATACTGCTGTTATTCCTACTGTTACTGTGGAAGGAGCCCACCAAAAGATGTACTGTCTTTTTTCCATGTATAAGACTATACTTTTGTCTAAAATCTTTAGACTAAAAATTGAGGGTCGTCTTATACACAGAAGTAAGCTGAGGAGAGAACAAAAACAAGTGAAGGGCCTTGATCCCTGCTTTCCCCTCCACTTGCTAAGCCCCACTTAGATTTCTTAATTTTGGGTTAGAAAAGTGGGACGGCGTCTTATACATGGGGGCATCTTGTACACGGAAAAATACGGTATGGAGGATTTTGCTCCGTGTCCCCCTCAGACCTGGAGTTGACCCTGACAGAGTCTAAGAAAGTGGCAGAGCCTCAAATAGTAGATTCCAAAGCAGTAGCCATGTCAGTCTGTCTCAAGGGAAAGGGGAAAAAGGAGTGAGCAAGGAAATAGTGTAGTTTAAATACTAACAATTTTAATTCCTTGTTAGCTGCTACTGTCTACTTCCTCGGACACTGGCGTGCAAATATATGACCTATATATTCATGCATAGGTGACTGGACAGCTCATTTGAGTTAGGTCTCTGGCTGCAGAGCTAGAGTTAATTCCCCACTGTGTCCCCAAAGAGGAGACCTAGCCTCTGTGGCCTCGAACAAGGTGCAAAGTCCCAGGATGACCCCAGAAGAAGGAAACTGTGAACCACTTCTGAGTACTCAAGGCCTAGGAAATCACAGAAAGGTTTACTATGACCCAGCACAGATGGACTTGAGGGCATGCGATGTTTTCTTATTATTATATGGTATACATATCCCCAGAGCAGGTGAACTGTTTCCTCAGAGGGTCATGAGGATATTTATAAGTATACACACGTGATGAGCCGGAACAAAGAGACAGGAAAAAACAGACTTCTCCACAAAAGGCCTACCTTCCTCTTGCTTCCCAGCCAAAACCCTTAAGGAACATGAA